GACAGAGTGCTTGCTTAGCATGTGGGTTCCATCCTCAGCACCACAGTACATAAACAAGTAGCAGGGCTTGGGGAAGTAAAGTGCTTGCTTCACAAACATAAAAAGGACTGAGTTTAATTCCTAGAGCCCACAATGGTGGCCCATGCCTTTAATCCCAGCACACAAGAGGCAGAGGCAGGTGGATCTCTGTGAGTTCGAGACAAGCCTAGTCTATAGAGTGAGTTCCAGACAAGCTCCAAAACTACACTTGAATCCCTGTCTTGAAAACAAACAAAACACAACAACAATAACAAAAAATGGGCTTGGCGGCTCTTACCTGTATTTCCAGTGCTGCAGAGGAGGAAACAGGCAGATCCCAGCCTAGCCTAGTCATTGAACCTACAGGTCCCCGTGTGAGACCCTGCCTCAAAAAATGAAAAGTAGACAGCTCCTGAGGAATGACACAGAAGGTTGACCCTTTGGTGCATGCACGCACAACAGTACCCACACTCACACCACACTTATACATGCCTGTACACACAAGCGCACACACACACAAACAAAATAAAAATAAAAAGCAGCCAAGGATGGAGTGTCGGGACAGTTCTTAGGTCAGCTGGGCATAGTGGTGGGATCCCCTTTGCTGAATACCTACAGTGTGCTACATACTGAGCTGGGAACCACCTACTCGTTATATTGGTTATTTCATTCTGAAACATGTTTTCTTGTTGAGTAAATCATGGTTGGGAAATAAAGTCAGAAGTGAGAACCGCTACCACTATGTACAGACACGCTATTAAATGTCTTCACCTTAGCCTGGTAGATTTTCATAATCCTGATTTACGGAAGAGCAGTTGGGGCCAGAATGGATAAGTGACTGACCCAACATTCCACAGCTGCAGGGTGGACAGAGCAGGGCCCGGGACAGGTGAGGCCCCAGAGTGCAGTGTGATAATACAAGACCATGCTAGTGCATGGCCTGTTTCTCTCACGTTCCCTGGTCCTCGGTGGAACCTTCTTCCTGCTTCTACAGCTGTACATCTATGCATCCAGTATTCCATATCCTCTGCTCTCTGCCCTGCTATTGCTCTGCAGGCTTGGGTCCCTCTCATCCTTTGGCCATTAGAACGGCACTCAGCTTTCTAGTCAGGCAGCTTCTGTCTGTCTCATGCACGTCCCCCCCCCCCTTGCATAAGGGGTTAGGAGGCCAAGGTCATAGAACAACAGAGGAGGGGACAGGCAGGGTTTGTTGTTGTTTTTCTGAGTTTCCCTTGTCCCTGTGTTCTGGCCACATCTGCTGGCATATCTCACAGCTATGCCTCTGCTGAGGACATAGACCTTTGCCACTATGATTTGATGTGCTGGAGCCATTCCCTTCACTGCCTCCAAGGCTGTAGGGCATAGCTGTCCCCAATACAGTCAGAAACCAGAGACATTAGTGGGACTTAAGTCCCCAAGCTGAGCTTAGTGATCTTGTCTCTCAAGATCTTGCCTTCTTCCCAGGACTGTTGGGACAGACAAGTGAAAGAAGAATGCCTGAGACTTAGAACTTTATAAATGTCAGTGGCTATGCAAATTAGCATGACTTTGGGGGTCATGGAGCCCTTCCGTGTGGTTCAGTACCCCATCCTTCCTGGTGCCTACTCCCACTTCCTCAGTCGTGAGAACATGGCAGTGGCCAGGCACTCTGAGCCAGTCAGGAGCTGAATGTGAATTTAGTGGGACTCTCTCCTCCCAACCATCTCTTCCAGAAGTAGGTCAGGAATGGGGGCCCACTCTACTGCCCCATGTACACCCTTAGCTGCTCCTCAGCCACAGAGCGTCCCATGTTACAGCTTCGCTTCACTGCCATGCTCTTTTCTGTCCTAAAACCAGGCCTCTCTAGTTCTGTCATGAAGCCCCAGATCTATTTCAGGGGGTGTCATGGGGAGCCACTCACCAGCCCAGGGCTTACCTAAGAAGGTCTGAGTTGGCTGCCTCTTTATCAGGGTCTGTCTCTGATTTGGGCAAGATGTTGGTGTCCCTGCTGCAGGAAGGTCCCTTGCTGAATAGTGGCATCTGTATAGGTGGTCAACGTACAGCCTCATCCTGGGCCCTGGTTAATAGTCTGTAGCCAGACCCACAAGGAAATTGGCCTTTGTGTGGCCTTGGCCCCCTTGCACCAGGCCCTGAATGGACCCGGAGGCAGAATCTCATGAAGTCAGGCTCTGATCTTCCTGTTTGTCCCCTGCTCTGGTCTCTGGGGACCATACCTCCTCTCTTGATCAGCTTCCTAGTCTCTGACAGTTCCCTATGAGTGTCTTCTGCCTGGGGGTGAGACTGGCTTTGTTGTATTGGAAGAGCCCTCGTGGAGAGTCCTTGGAAGTCCCTTGATCCTTTTTTTTTTTCTTTTTCTTTTTTTTTCCTTGATCCTTGTACACCATCAGTGGCCATGCTGTGCCCTAGCCACTGGGCCAGAGCTTGGCTGGAAGCCATTCAACCCTCACAACTTTTCTCCTGGCATCTCTCAGGCCACTCCTTTCTGGGGTTTCTCCTTAGTCTGCTACCTTGCAGGGAGCCTGACCCCTGCTCCAGCTCTGTCTTCCCCAAAGGCCATGGTGGGGTCATTCCCTGTCCACTATGGTTGTATTTCCTATGAACCCCTCACTTGTCAGCTCCTACATAATAGCCTGCCACCTGGCCTTGTCTGGGCATCTCTGGGAGACAGTGGCAGTGATTCCAGTTTTGATTCTAGAAGTGTTGGGCTGGCACCTCGCCACCGTGCCCAGTGATGGTGGCTGGGTTGGCTGGCTGTTTTAAACATGGGCCCATGGGAGGTGGGGTAAATTCCCAACTTCAGACTCTAAGCCTTGGAATAGGTGGTATGTGTTGGACCTGTGCATTCGCTGCTTTCTGAAGCCCTGGCCTTGGGCTCTTCAGATAAAGCTCCTGCCTGTGTGCAGCTTTATCTACTGAGAAAGCCACCCAGAGAAGAAAGTGACCAGACTGCCCCATAACAGTGACTCCGAGTCTACTGTGAACCCTGGGAAATGAGACTGGGAACCCAGGCCACCTGGAGCTACTTGCCATTCAGGGTGGCCCCAGCCTCAATTTCCCCATTTTTTGTGAACTCTGTTCCTACCCCCCCTCCCCCCACCGCCACTTCCTGTGCTGTGACGGGAATACAGAGATAGGTTAAGCCTGTTTCTGCCCAGGAAGGTGTTAGGCTAGTGGACAGGTGCTGGCTCCAGCCGGGCACAGTCACGTGGTGACAAGCATGGGCGAGCAAAGGAGGACCCTCATGAGGGCTGGTGGTCTGAGTGCCCAGCTTCTACCTAGTGCTTCACCCACATCGTCTCCTTTTGCTCAAGAGCACATCAGTGTTTGCCATTCTGCAGTGTGTGCTGACCTTTTAGGTTAAAAAAAGTCCCTCCTAGCTAGCAGTGCGGGTGTGTAGGCAGCTGTCCTTTGCCTCACAGGGCCCAGCAGGGAGTGGGTACCTCTGCAGTGGGTGTTCAGCTGGTGTTTGTCAACCTTGGGGTGGGGGTGGGGTGCTTGTCCAGCTTCCTTTTTTCCTTCTGGCCCAGTTGTTCTACAGCTACACCTGGTAAACGGGGCTGATGCTTATGGGGCTGTGGGTGTGGCTGTGTTAGTGGAGTCCGGTGTATAAGGCCCTGCTCCATCCCCAGCATAAGACAGCTGATGGTTCTTATACTGAAGGAAATAGCTAGAGCAGGGTTCTCTGTGGGTCATGACCCTGGAGGGGTGGGGTTGAATGACCCTTTCACAGGGGTCGCCTAAGACCATCTGAAGACACAGATATTTACATTATGATTCATAACAGTAGCAAAATTACAGTTACGAAGTACCAACACAAATAATTTTATGGTTGGGGCTCACTAACGCATGAGGAACTGTATTAAAGGGTCATAGCATTAGGAAGGTTGAGAACCACTGAGCTAGAGACTATTTGGTGGCTTGTGTTAAGGGAGCTATGACTCCCCACCTTGTGTACCTAGACGGAGTAGGAACTATGGCCCTTCTAGGCAAAGCTCTGCATCTGATGCCCACACACTGGCCTTGCTCTCTGCCTGAAGAGTTAGGCTCAGTGGTCTCCGTTGTCGCTTTATAAAATGAGGATTGCTGGGCCCCTGGCAGAATACATCAGAGACAAACATTCAGCTAGCAAAGGATGATGAAGTCACTGTCACTAACCCTGCTGCATGCTTGTCTTTAGTGAACACTGTGGAGGTCAAAAGAGTGGTTCAGTACCCCTAAATCCTGAGTTTCCCATTCCCCATGGAAGTCTTTTGGAATTATTGCCCAGTACCCAACACCCAGACTACTACCTGGCACCTGAACCCCAGAAGTCGTTTGAATGAATGTGAGCATGAATGAATGAAGGTTGCTTTGCTAAGCCACAGGAGTCTACAGTAATTACAGAGTGATTTTAAATAAAATAAAGCAGATATACAACAACAGCTTACAGCAGGAAGTGTGCTACCCAGTGGTCTGATGGGAAATTCTTCTGCTTGGAACTGAATGGGACAGAGTAGTAAGGACTGAAGACCAAGAAGAAAGTTAACAGTGTGTTAGAACCTAGCCAGGGTCTTTTCCTTAACTTAGAGATCATTGTTTAGGACTTAAGTTTCCCCTCTAGGAGAGGAAGAGGGGCTCTCCCATCCCCATAGTGAGTTTGTGACCAAGCCATTTACTTGAGTGCTGTATATTTTGCTGGTATGTGGTAGATATTGGGAGGGGCCAAGCGGACAGACACTCAGGCCTCTCCTGACTCCTTGCCAGATTCTCTATCTCACCCAACACTTAATTTTACTACCATTGCAAATGAGCCACAGTGTGGAGCACCTGCTGAAAGGAGCGGATGCTGCTCCAGTTATACTCAGAAGGGACTGCTGACTTGAGTGTTCTGTTCTGGATCATGGGGACTCCTTTTTGGAGCTGTGGCAGACTAGAACATCATCCCCAGAAAAGATGACCTAAGGGCCTGGCCAGCCCTCTGATGTCTGCCATTGTCCCTACAGCCAGGTGGCCGTCACAGCAGGGGTTGACTTACCCTCATGGAAGGGAGAGGACCCTACCGGATCTACGACCCAGGGGGCAGCACGCCTCTGGGAGAGGCATCAGCAGCTTTTGAACGCCTAGTGTTGGAGAATACCCGGCTGAAGGGACAAATACAAGGGATAAAGACGTTAGGTAAAGCAGACCGTGCCCTCCCCCTGTTGTCCCTCTTCCTGCAGCCTGCAATGCTAGCCCCTTCACAAAGGCTGGCAGGTGCCTCTGCCCATCACGTTGCTGTCCCTGTGACCCAGTGTTAGCCCCTGGCATCTTTGTGCACTCTGTAGCCTGGTGATAGCATTCCCAGCCCTGACTTCTCCCACCCCAAAGGGTGTCCTTGAGAGACCAAGAGGGAAGCATGCATGAGGAGCAGAGCACAAGGCTCAGTTTGTGGACCTGGAGCCAGAACGGTCTCGACCTGTTGGAGAAGTGAAGTATGAGAGATGAGGAGAGCCAGTGTGCCAGGGCACCCCCAGAACCCTGGGCTTGGATGCCCGGCCAGGAGCAGAGCTGGCCCAGAGCTCAGTGCAGCAGGGCCCTTGGCTCTATTCCTCCAGCTTGTGCTCAAGCTACCCCCACTGTCCAGCCCATCCCTCCATCCTTGCCCACTCCTGACCACTGCACAGCATGCTTCTCCTTGGAGCAGAGCCATCACTCACTTCCTCCCACTCTCCTCGCACTGTGTCTGGAAGTCACTTTCTTTGTGTTCAAGCTTGCTGTGGAGGATCTAGCACCCTGGCTTTCCAAGTGCTTTTTCCCTGCTTGGCAGAAACCACTTGGGATAGCGGTGGTTGGGGGTAGGGAGGGTTTTCCTTTCTCCACCTGCAGAAGGGAGACTGAGGCCTAGAATGTAGGCAGTCCCTCAAGAACCTCTCACTTTCTGCCTGGGGGTGGGCAGATGTGGAGGGAGAGGTAGACAGGAAGAGGAGGCCAGAGGTAGGAGGTTTCTTTAGGCCCCACAGCCAGACTATTCTTATGATGGCCTGTTTTGGGGAGGGAGGCAGCATAAGTGTGGACTTATAGCCCATATAGCCATGGTGGTAATGAAGTCAGTCCATGGCCAGGTCTAGCATGGGAATGGGGAGAGCCATGCACTGGGCTGGGTAAATCTGTATGCTTCTCCACCTTGTTACTCTAGGGGGACTTCTGGAAGAGTCACAGATGGAAGCGTCCAGGCTCCGACAGAAGGCGGAGGAGCTGGTCAAGGACAGTGAACTGCCGCCACCGCCACCTGTGCCTTCCTTGGGCTCTTTTGATCCCCTGACTGAGCTCACAGGTACCAAAAAAATTCAGAACCCCTGCCTTCTCGGAACCTAGACTGACGAGGCCCTGAACCCCAGAAGGCCTACCCCTCCTCATACATACCATCTTCCCGTGCACATCTTTTGGCCACAGCACCCATAGAAGGTCAGCCCTATAAGGGACCTCAGATGACCCTAGTGGCTCAACACTCCTAATGCCTGTTGTTTGTTATCCATCACAGTGGTCCCTGGCACCAAAGAAACGGCCTTAGGGTGATATCAGCATTGATTATTGAGTCCACAGCTGCTGTGCGCAGGCCCAGCCCCCAGGCATAGGAGCTAGACATTCTCTGCACCCCCCCCCCCCCCCACGACTTCTGTTTCATAATAAGGAAGCCTGAGGCCCAGCATGTTAACCTGGGGGTGCCAGAGCCTGTGGCACTGTTGTCAGAGGGGCATTCTAGTCCTCACTGGCCCAGTCAGTTGTTAATTCTCAGTGTCTGATTGGTGCCAGGTCCATTCCCAGTGCAATGGGGAGATGTTCACAAGGCTTCTGCAGCAGGGGCCCCCAATAGTAAGGAAGTTGAACTGCATTTGAGTCCAGGTTTTACAGTTGCTAACAGAGGCACTGACTTCCTTTCTTTAAAACAGGAGTAATAGAGGGCTGCCATGAGAACACCACAGAGGGGGGCTGTAGTTCAATGGATAGAGCGTTCACCTAGCCCTGCATTCGCTCCATCTTCAGCTGGCACACCTGTAATCCTGGAGTCTGGGTTTGGTGGTCCTCCTCAGCTGCATACTGTGTTTGGGGCCAGCCTGAGTTAAACGAAACCAAGTTTGAAGTCAAGCCTAAGTTATATGAGTCTCTCTCAAAACCCAAAAGAAAACACTTGGTTAACTGAAAATTCTGTCCGTATCCCAGAGGTACATCTAGGGTAACAGAAAACCATGGGCACCTTGGAGTTTTCCTAAGAAGGCTGGGAAGAGGGTCTCTGCTCAGACTCTGTCCACATTACTCAGGCCCGTCATTTCACCGGACTTTTTGTCTAAAAGGGACAGCCTCCCTTTTCTCCAGATCAAGAGAGAACTCAGTGAGAGATCTTCCATTACTGTGGGCTGGGTTCAGTTTTCTTCCCGTCTGGATTTCTTTAGTCATAGTCTTGATTTTCCAGGACAGGATGCACGGGTCCAGGTACATGCTACCGCCACCACGACCACCACCACCAACACCACCGAAAACTCCATGGAGAAGTCAGCACCAGCCTCTAAGACTCCATCAAATGTAAGTTACGTTTGGAGTTGTGACTGGCTGCCTGAAGCTCTTCCCACCTCACGTTAGTCCAGAGCTCTGGGAGGGAGCAGCTTACCATTTTGAGATGAAAATTACAGTTAATATGACCGTAAGGCCCTGATCTGACAAGGAAGTTCTCTCATTTACTGATCTATGTAATGTTCTCACCAATGGGACACACACACTGCCAAGAGGCTCGGGAACCATGGCCTGCAGGCTCAGTGGAGAAGTTTAGCTTGTTGTCCTAGGGCAGTTCCTTGAGGAGCCTTCAGATGATGAAGAGAAAAGAGCCTTTTCCAAGGTCACGTCTGGGGAGGTCTTCTCTAGCAGGGCTGAGACCACATGGGGTCATGGTGGCTGTGACTAGTGACCACGTGGGCTGGCTTCTCCCATCTGTCTTACACCATCTCAGGACAGGAGAAGCTGGATAATCTCTGCCGGTCAAGAGGGTTTGGGGGTTTTTATTTTGTTTTGTGGGGGTTTTGGTGTGTGTGTGTGTGTGTGTGTATACGTAAGTACTGTATGCACGAGGGGAGTGTATACCAGTGTGTGCAGTGAGGACAGAGGAGGAGGACATCAGGTGTCCTGTTTTACTACTCTCTTCCTTACCCCCGTAAGTCTCTTCAGTGAACATTTTCAGATAGCCGGCTGGCCAGCAAGCTCCAGTAATCCTCCTGTCTCTGTCCAGTCCAGTGCTGAGGTTGCAGTATACGGATGCCCAGACATGTTTTTACGTGGTTCTGGGGCATCTAAGCACAGGTCTCCTGCTGGTGTAGCAAAGACTCCACCCACTGAGCTATCTCCGCAGCCCGGGTCAGGGTTAAGGGAACCAAATGCAGGCTCGGGTGGACTACCGGCCTATTGTGATTGAACAACCAGTAAAGTCTGCTTAGAATGGATAGTGGTATGAAAAAATGAAAGATTTGGCTAGCCGCCACCTCAGTTTGGGGTGCATCCTTGAGACGCTTTCTGCATTGTCGACCCATCCTGGGGGTTCTCAGGTCGGTTCTCTCCTGGAGACCTCTGGGGCTGGGTTCACACTGGCAGTGTTGGACCTTCCTTAGTGGTGGCTGTAATGGCTGCTGTCACCCAGGAGTGAGCTAGAGACACTTAGCCTAGGAGATGGATTGGTTGCTTTGGCAGAATCTGCCATCTTGTGCAGAGTCACGCCATGTGTGTTAACTGACTCTATGCACTTGGTCTTCTCATCTGTCCAAAGAGAATGTGAGCCTCCCGGCCGCTCCATGAGTGGCTCTGAAGAATAAGCTCATGAAACATTTTAAAATGTAGAATCCTTGAGCCAGTGCAGTGGTTGCCTATCAAGTCTGAGCTCAGAAACCTCGGTTCTATCTTCAGAACCCACAGGGAAGAAAGAAGCAACTCCCCAAACTTGTTCTCTGACCTCCACACATGTGCTGTGGCATCAGCACGTGTGCTCGCGCGCACACACACACACACACACACACACACACACACTCGTGTACACACACGCCCTCCCCCTCTGCCCACACAAGCTCACACCAGTGAACAAATAAATAAATAATAGTGGTTCAAGGTCAGCTCTCCCCACACCCCTTTCACAGATAAAGTAATGGCCATGGAGGGGAGGGATATGACCTCAGATCACAAGGTGGGTGATGACAGTTGTGTGGAGTCCTGGGTGATTTCATGTGAATGGTGTGTGACTGGTCATCTCTGGGAACTCTAAATGTTTGCCCTTCTGTCCCCTCACTGTTCTTCATTGGGGGCAGGTTATTTCTTTTGGGAGGCCCCTAACTCCCTTTTTGCACAGGGCACCTCTTCTGACTTTGAAGTGGTCCCCACTGAGGAGCAGAATTCTCCACCCCAAACTGGCAGCCCTCCTAGGAACATGATGGTGAGCACAGGCAAGCCCCCTGAGCACGTCCTCCGCTTTCCTTTCTGTCACCTGCCCCCTGCATGACAGGCGCTGGGGCCACTCAGATCCCTTGGGTCCCCTGGAGTTACATGGGGGACACAGAGGGGCTAGAGCATGGGATGCTTCTCGTTCTCATATGCAAATCCCCTGCTGGTAACTTCCCCGACTTGGGGCACACAGTACCCCACTGTTGTGAAAGCCTGGGCCATTTGCCAGCCCTGCTGGCCTCTGGGCCAATCACCTTTCTATCAGTTATGATGACTCAGCCATTTGGGTCTGTACGCTCGAAGCCTGGGGGTGTGGAAAGGGTCTGACTGGTGCTTGTGGTGGTGGTGGGAGTAATTTACCCTTTTGTGCAGGTCCTTGACTCCTCCCAGGAGCTGGTGGGTTGGAGGTTAAACTTTCTGTTCATGTGTGGGGTGCACACACTCCTCCAGCTTCACAGGGGCTGCTCATATCCCCAGTCCTGCCGTGCAGTGCTTACCACCTTGGTCCCAACCGTGCAGTCCTTCTGTTCTTTATTAAAATGCCAGACTTCTTGGAGAGCTATTGTGACGGATCTGGAAGATTTGTCAGAGACCTTACATTCCTTCTTCCTCCTCATCCCTCCCTTCCTTCTTATATAATGTTTGCTTTATTCTGTTTTGTTTGTGTGTGAGAGAGAGGTCTCCCTCTGTAGCCCAGAACTCAGTGCCAGCCTCTTGCCTCATCCCTAAGTCCTTGTGCTGACAGACATGCCCACTGTAGACTGTAGTCTTAAATCGCTGCTCTGCCAGTGCTCCATGACCTCAGCTTCACCGATGCTGCGGTCTCTACCACCTCGAGTCCGGAGGGCTTGAATGACCGGTGTGCTTCTGCTCACCCACAAACAGAGATGGGCATTGAGCCTTTAATGCTGAAAGAATCATTCTGTCAGCCAGTGCTGAATGTGAGGCAGGACCTCCGTGTTTCATCTCCTGGGACCTTATGTCTCTCATCCTGTTCTGTCCCTGAGGACTCAGACACACTGAGGAGGCAAGATTCCCTTGTTCAGAAAGGTTTCACCATGTGACCATGGGCCAGTAACTTATCTCTTGAGGTAAAAGTCCCTGTGTAAGTCAGTCTGTCTTGCCTGTGCCACGTCAGAAATACACCAGCTCCTGCTGGTAGCTTGTGGGCTAGTTGGAGAAATTTAAGAGCACTTTGAGCCTTCAGAGAACAGCCTTGGTCCTTTGTGGTAAGACGTGGTGGGGAAGGGATGAAGAATTAGAGAGAGGTACCACCTTTCTTAGAACATGGTGCTGACAAGGTGACAAGGAGTGGGCTGAGCATCCAATCCAGTTGCCACAGAGCTCAGTAGCAAGTCACAGAGCCCTGCATTGCAGTCAGAAAACCCCGTTTGTAGGGCTGGCCCTGCCACAGACTGACTGGGTAGTTGTGAGCAAGTTCTCTGTCACTGTTCTTCACTCTCCCAGCCTGAACCCCAAGGTCCCTGTGGCTCTGCTCTCTGATTCCCTGAAGTGTTGCAGGAGGTCTGTTGTGTGAGTCTCTGAAGTATGTGTGGGGAGGGGGTCTGGAGGAGCTGAAGTGTGAGAGCATTTGGGGTAGATAGATGATCAGGATATATAGAAATGAGGCCTATAAAACCCTGGGGTCTGGCACAGGGGCTTGGGCAGGAAAAGGTTGGGAGGCCAGGACTGATACAGCAAGAAGGAAATGGTTATGCCTGATTGGGCATAATCAGAGTAGTGATTTCAGTAGGAATGTTCTCGAGAGAGTGGAGAGAGCCGTACTCAACTGTTCTGCCTGGGCTGCTCTCTCCTAAAATACTGCACTATGTTGGGGTTCTTTGGCATATTGTAACTGTGATTCTTAGGGTCAGATGGTATTTCATCCACTCCCAGGGAGACCCTCACCCCCCCACCACCACCACATGGAAATGGGGTGTGTACAGCGAGGGACTCCCTCTGTGCAATGAAGGAGGGAAGTGATATCCACACACTGCTGAGACAATGCCCAGCCTGGGGGAGGGTAAACCAACTACCCTCAGGCACTCACTCAGTAAGACTCAAAGCGTAGGAGGAAGATGGCTCTGGTGCTGTTAGGCCAGTAAGTGGCCTGGAAGTTCTAGGTCCTGCCCTGTGAGTCAGCTCCAGATAAGGAACCTGTGCAACTGGAAAATTTCCCTGGGCTAAGCAGAGGCCACAGGGGAAACTGAGTCATGAGGAATGGGGAAGCAGTGGGAGAATTGACCTGGTAAAGATCATCCCCTTGCTCCCACAGGAGCTGGGGCCCCCACCCCCAGAAGACAGCAACCTCATGCTCCACCTGCAGCGCCTGGAGACCACCCTGAGCGTGTGTGCTGAGGAACCTGACCACAGCCAGCTTTTCACCCACCTGGGCCGCATGGCCCTTGAGTTCAACAGATTGGCCTCCAAGGTGCATAAGAATGAGCAGCGCACGGCCATCCTGCAGGTGAGGCAGGCCAGCGCCCCTCCCCCACCCTTTGGGGGTAGGAGATTAACTATGGGGACATTGGAGGGCTGGATTCTAGGCCTCCTTGGGCCCCTTATTCACACTGGTGACTGCAGTAAGGAAGTTGTGGGAAAGTGTGTGAAAAAAGAAGGAAATGAGGAAATAGGAGGTGGGCCTTGCAGATTCACAATGGGAGCCCTGAGAGGTGTGGCCTGGCCAGCTGGGTATGGCCTGGTTTGTTCTTGTTTCTTTTGGGTTTTTTTGTTGTTGTTTTGGTTTGGTTTTTGTTTTGAGACAGGGTCTTACTGTATATCCCCAGCTGGCCTAGAATTTACTGTATAGACCAGTCTGGCCTTAAATTGAGAGATCTGCTTGCCTCTGCCACCTGAACTCACACTGTGGCTTGTTTTACTGTCACTGAAACTCTTTGTATGTTCTGTCCCCTGCAGTGAGAGCCGTTCATAGAACCCCTTCCCAGATAGGCAAACAGCACTCAAAAAATGTTTGTTTTTTTTTTAAACCCCAAGGTCACCCAGCTGGTAAATGATGGAGTGATCTTAGAACCTCAAAACCTCAATTCTTATATTCTATTTTGTTTTCTTGCCTTTTGGTTGTTTTTTTTTTGTTGTTGTTTTTTTGTTTTGTTTTGTTTTTTGGCAGTCTCACTCTTAGCCCAGGCTGGCCTGGACCTCACTCTAACCCAGGCTGGTCTCAGACTCACAGCATCCTCCTACCTCTGCCACTTAAGTGTGGGAATTCCAGATGTGAGCCACCCCACCCAGCTTTAATCTGTCATATTTTAAATCTCATACCCTTAGCCCACCCTCCCTCCTCACCTTCTTTCTCAAATCGCTCTCAAAAGGCTTCCTGTGTGTGTGTGTGTGTGTGTGTGAGGGGTGGTCAGATTGCTTTGCTCGGCCAGGTCAGGCTCTGGAGTTATGTTGCCCTTGGTTCTTCATTACTGAATGGTCTTGGACAAGTCCCTAATCTCTGTCCTACCAGGAAAGAGCTAAGCAGTGTCCCCTCCTGGGACAATTACATCAAAGGAGGCCCTTGTGCGGTCTAGAACCCAGTACTAGGAGAGGTCACTGTCCGCTTACCCACACTGGACAGGCCATCTTAACTTGGAGGGCTTTTCAGGTAACTGTGGTCCACTTAACAATTAATTGGTGACCATTGCAAAGATGGTAAAAATAAGGCTGCTGGAGGCCCTGCTCAGGGATTGAGCACCCCTTCCTGTGGGCAGAGCCCTCACCTGAAGGCTCCCCTCTCCTGGGTAAAACCACCACCTTCTGTGCCAGTTGGCATCGATGAAAGGAGGGGATCTACCCTCTGTATTTGAGCAGCTGAGGTCTCGGCTGGCTCTATGACAAGGGATATCCTCTTATTGGAGACTGGAGAAGCAATGGAAATGTGTGGTGGAGGGCCTGGGGTTTGGGCTGGCACGAGGAAACCTCTTTGAGAGGCCACCAAGGCTTTGGAGTTTCCAAGCTGAGCTCTGTGAAAGAAAACCTAACACAGTACGGGGGCTGAGATCATTCTGAGCATCAACTTTTGGCACTCAGATGGGGGATGTGTGCTGGCCCCTGATACCCACCAGCCTCTTACATTGGTCTCCTGCTTATTCTCTTCTTGGCTCTAACAGTACCAACAGTTCTATCTTTTTAGATAGTTGATTTGCTTAGTCTGTACTCACAGCTGAGTGTTGTCTTCACAAAGGCAGCATATTCACCATGGTACCCTGGTGCCTGGCACTTCATCCACAGTTGGTGAAAGAATGAGCAAGCCAGGTGTGGAAGCTCACACCCATAATGCCAGCTCTAGGGGCCGAGGCAGGAGAATCTCAAGTTCAAGGTCATTCTGGGCTACTTAGCTAGATCCTGTCTCAAAAACAAAAACCGAAAAACAAAGTTGGAGAGATACTTAGCAGTTTAGAGCAATGGCTGCTCTTGCAGAGGACCTGGTTTGGTAACCAGCACCCACGCTGCATCCATCTCACATCTCTAGCTCCAGTTTCAGGGGATCTGACGCCCTCTTCTGGCCTCTGTGGGCACTGTGCACATATGGTGCACAGCATACATGCAGGCAAAATACCTATATACATAATTTTTTTAAAAAGCAAATCAATCTTTAAAACAAATAATGGACAAGCTCACAGGTGTGCTCGTAGACTCTCTGATGGAGGGTGGTGACTTTGTACCCAGGGCATTTACCTAGAGGCCCCAAAAACAGCCCTCTGTCCTGGAATGGCAGTGTAACAAATGAGGTGTCATTGTGGCCTTCCCTCAGAGACAGGAGCAGTACATTCTGTTCCCTGGAGTCCCCACCCAGGGACATAGCAACTCCCTGTTTCTCGGACTCTGGGTGGAGGAAGCTGAATCCAGTTCCTCCTCATTCTCTCTCTGATTTGTTTCTTGGCTCACTCAACGAACATTGCAGGCTTGCACCTGTAATCTCAGCACTTAGGAGGCCGAGGCAAGAAGATTGCTGGGAGTTCAGTGCCAAGTTGTAGTGAGTTTCAGGCCCGGCCGTATTACAGGATGAGGCCTTGCCTAAAAAAGAAAAAGACATACATATTTTTTGAGATCAAATATGGCATAGGGCCCTCCGTTCGGCACTGAAGAAACCAATAACAAGCTTTCTGTTTTCTCAACCTTCAGCCCACAGTGTCCAACACCTGCAGTGCAAGGCTGCCCTTCCACCCATCCAGGACTGTCTTACGCTGGTCAGAAAGGGGCCAGCAGTTCTGAAGTCTCCCTGGTGACACGGGTGACGTGGCACAACTTCTCTTGTGTTCTGTAGTAGGAATTCATTCTTTCCATACCACTGCTCTAGTGGATATACCATGTCCACCCTAGTTCGAAAAAGAGACCAGAGAAGTGAGCCAGGGACTGTTGCCAAAGACGAGCAGTCTAGACAGGGAGATCTATGCAGGGAAGAGAGGGAATTTCACTATGAGGACCAGGACCCCAATGCATCCTCACTGCTGGCTCCAGTGAAAGAGAAGCCCAGTGGCCTGGCTCCCAGCTATCCTGCCAATCAAAGGGATATAGTATCTGGTCCTGCCTGGGCTGGCTGCAGCTCCAGATCCTTGTGTGAGCCTGCCTCAGGATATGCACCCTCTTAACCCCCCCCCCCTGTCTCCCAATCTGTCCCACAGACCTTGTGTGAGCAGCTGCGCCAGGAGAATGAGGCCCTGAAGGCCAAGCTGGACAAGGGGTTGGAACAGCGGGATCAGGCTGCTGAGAGACTGCTGTAAGTGCAGGCCACCTTGAGACTGGAACAGGAGGAATAGAGCAGGAGGAATAGATAATGTGACTCACTGGTTCCTGGAACGAGGCCACTTCTTAGAGCTCTGTTCTGACAGCAGATCTCTTGGCCCTTCTCCTTGGCGGTCTGGGATTTTTCCCTTGTGTTTTGTTTACCTTGGGAGGGGATGTAAACAGCTTTGAGAGCTGTCCTCCCCTGGGGAAAACTGCTTAGATTAGTGTAGGATCTGGCTCAGGACTGTCCTGCCCCCTGGTGGTCATTATTCCCTGCTCCCATTTTTCTGGAATCTTTGGAAGTCCCTCACTGCACTCAGGCCTGTGGGAAAGCATGGGTGTCCAGCCTCTCTGGCTTTGACAAGACTGAGTTGGTATGTCTTAGGTGAACCATAGGGTCTGCCCATCACCAAGGATTGCTGTGACCACAATGTAAGAGGCCTGGGGAAACAGGAATTTGTGAATGCTGGATTTCAAAGGGCCTTTGCCCTTAGATCGTACAGACTAGCCCACATTGTGTGAGGCGAAGCAGGCCTGGAGAGAGGCGGGCTTCCTAAGGGTCTCACTACAAGGACTTAACCATTCACTAGCAGCAGTTCCTGCTCTCTGTGGCTCTGGGTAACGGTGCTGGGTAACTGCTGGACGAGTGACTCTGTATTAGAACCAGTACTTGCTACTCTGTGTTTCCTCTTGGTCACTGTGGCCACAGGGCCATTTTGCATCATTGAGTCTTGGTTTACATTTGGATGGCCCAGTGGTTGGGGCTTTAGAGCCATACTCCATTACTCATGGAGGACGTGGATAATGTCAAGGACAAGGATGCCCAGGGTGAAGGACAGATGAGTGAGTGAGAAGGCAAAAGCCTTCTCCCAAGGGCTTATGGGTAAGAAGGCAGGAATTCAAGTCCTTGTTGAATAACCTGGAGAAAAGCCATTTGACGCCATGTATCCCTGTAGTTAAGTAGAAGATGAGGGAGTGTGTCCATGCAGGGAAACTGCACGCTCTCAGGGGGCTCACGGGTGCCCTTTTTGTCTCATCACACTTCCCAGAACACTGCTGCGGTGCCTGTGACAGTAGGTCCTTGGCTGTGAAGGCCCCCTAACCCAGAGCTGACATTGTGACTTCTCCACTTCTCTCTTATCCAGGGAGGAAAACATGGAGCTTAAGAAGCTGTTGATGAACAGCAGCTGCAAAGAGGGCCTCTGTATGCAGCCCAGCTCCCCAAAGACAGAGGGTGCTGGCAAGAAGGGCATAGCTGGACAGCAGCAGGTACGTGGCAGGAAGTTCTTGTATCCCAGGCTTCTCAGACCCAGGATCTGCTTACCTCCTCAGTCAGAGTGAGCTCTCCTCTTCCTACACACAGTTCCAGCGGCAGAAGGTTCTAGTTGATAAACCATGTTTCCTAGCTCAACATCCGCCTCTGTGGTATGACCACTTCTTGGCCTTTTGTTCTGCTTTCATTCCCTGTGGAATGTCCCATTCCCTAAGACACATGCTCAGAATTATTGGCCGTCATGTGGCTCTGTGACCCTTCCACTGGCTGCTTCTCTTGCTTGCTAGCTCGGATTATCCAACTGCTGCTCATGGGAGTTGGGGTTCAGTGTTTTGCTCATTCTGGGTACTAGCACCTTAATGCATTTTGTCAAGGTCTGTGTGTGTGTCTGTCTGTCTCTCTCTTTCTGTCTGTCTCCCTGTCTCTCTCCTCCCAAAAGTCAATGTAGCATATCAGACATTCCAAGGAGAACTGAGATGTCAGACTGAGCAGGGTCCTATGGAGTTCTTGTTAAGCTTGTGAGATTGTACCTTTGAGCCTCTGCATGGAAAGGAAGATGCTGGTAGTATCGTTATGGTCTGAGGATGCCACAGCACTGACCTCCCACCTCCAGACCCAGTCTTGCCACACAGCAAAGTCCCAAGTGTCCCTTGCTCCACTTTCACCAGTCCCCCAATCTCCTCTCACCCATTCTCTAACAGAACATCTCCCCCTCTTGCAGCATATGCCCTAATGCTAACTTTATACTGTGTAAGGTAGTAATTATCTCGGTCACTCACTGCTCGTCACTGGATGGAGATGTACTTTCCCCAGGACTTGCAAAGCCATAAGCTCATTCAGGCGCTTCTGCCTGAAAGGATGCCTCATCTCTGGCAGGAGTCTTGGAAAGGTCATGTGCCATCATGTAATAAAGATTCTTCCATCATCTCTCAAGCAAACATGGGTTTGGCCAGCTAAACAGCAAAGCCTCTCCACCCCCATCTCTTACTAGCACTGTGCCCCCATTTTCATTTTTTAAAGTATGATCACACTATGTAGCCATGGTTGGTCTGGAACTCACCCTGTAGACTAGCCTGGCCACCAGCTCACAGAGCTCCTCTTGCCTCTGCTGGGATTAAAGATATATGCCACATCACCTAGCCTTTAGCTGTTGCTTTTAACAGTAGATTTGGAAACAGGAGTGCCTCTATCTGCAAAGGTAAGGGAGCCCAGCACCCTCCAGGAGACAGTGGGCTTCCTGGGGGCAGGCATCTCTGCCCTTTCTCAGGGACCGCCATACCAAATACACCTTTTCCTTTCCAGGTGTTGTGGTATGCTTACAGGGCATAGCCTGTAGGGGGCACTAGAGGCCCATAAAATCTGCTTCCACTCTGCCCAGCCTGTGATAGATAGGAAACAGAATGTGAGAGTAGGGACAGCATGACTGCAGGGCAGATCGGCCTCACTGGGCGGGCTCTAGTCAATGGGGCTCGTGCAGACCCCGTAGTCTGCTCTCACACTGAGGGCCATGGTCACAGTCGCTGCATCTGCACTCCACCTGGTCTGTGCTTGTCACCTCAAAACTTACTAGTTGTTTAACTTCAAAATATTTTATTTTGCGCTAATTTAAACTTATACAGAAATGGGTTCTGGTCCCATACTCCCTCTGGCTTCCCTGGCCAGCTTATGTTACCACAGAACCACCTTACCAACAATCTTACATAACTATGGCTCAGTTACCAAAGCAGGAATTACATTGTCCTTCCAACACTTCAGATGCCACACATCCTTCACCCTTGTCCTTCCTTTGTTCTAGAACAGAATCCAGATCACACATGGCCTTCAGTTGTCACAGCTCCATAGTCTTTTCATGCCTGTGACATTGCTCAGCTGTTCCTTGTTTTCATGACCTTGACACTTTTGAGTTCTGCTTGCCAGTTGTTTTGCAGAATAGGTTTGGGTTTCTATTAGATTGTGGTCTATTAGAAGGCTTTCTCTGTTCTCCTCAGGCCGGTGTGATGGCAGGTAAAGTCCCTGAGGTGGGGGTCTTGGGTACAGCCGAGAAGAAGGTGAAGATACTGGAACAGCAACGCATGGAGGTAGGTGGCTGGACAGGGTGGTCAGTGAGCACCCTTCTGCCCTCTTGGGACCAGAGGGATGAAGGCTCCGCTTGGCTCTCTGATTCCCACTGGTCCCAGGTCATCTTAGAGAGTTATAATGGAAACCATTGGACTGTCTGTCCATGGGAAAGGTCTCTCTTGATCTACCACAGCGATCACTGAGGATACTGTACTTGTGGTGCAGCCTGAACTTGTTTGGGGAGCTTAGGGGGCTGGAGAGATGGCTCTTTAGTAGGAGTGCATACTGCTCTTGCAGAGGACCTGCGGTTCAGTTCCCAGGACCCTCATAGGGCAGCTCACAACTGCCTGTAACTGCCTCCAGAGAGTCTGACCCCCTGTTCTGGTCTCACCCACACTCACGTGTACAAACCCACATACAAGCGTGTGCATGTATACATATAAGTTAAAGGGGGGCGCGAAGGATGGCTAAAGTAAACTGAGTGGTCCGGCAGGTCACGGTAAGTCAGGCCAGTATCAGCGTGGGAGACACACGCTGCAGTGTGGGAGTGGCCAGCAGTGAAGGAAGCTCCCCTGCTCTTGGCCTCAGCATTCTGTCTCACAAGCCCCTCCCCACCTCCAGCCCAGGGCGGTAGCCTGTCCCTCTTTCTCTAGGTCTCTCCTTATAGCTGGGTCCTTTCCTAGCCTCCTCCCTCCTGCCCCTTTTGCCCTCACATACACCCGAAAGCCTGCTTGCAAATATACTCTGACTTATTTTACTCAGATCTCAGAACTAAAAGAACACTCATTATAAAATGAATCAGAACTCTCCCTAGAGATAACTACAGCTAATTTCAGCTCACTGCATTCCCTTGGGGTTGTTTTGTTTTACTTTTTTATGGTACTAGGAACTGGACCTATGGCTCCACCTAGTTGCCTAGGCAAACCTTGAACTCATAGTCCTCCTAAGTAGCCAAGGACACAGAGGTGCACACCCTTTGTTCAGTTTTTTTTAATGCAAAAAAAATGAAGTGACACATATTACTTTTCAGGTTAATTTTTTTTTCTTTTAAAATTATCTCAGAATATTTGTTCAGCTCTACAGCATAAGCCAATTGCTTCATTTTTTGGTACTTTTGTCTTTGGCATTACATCTGAAATCGGAATATCCTTTCTCATGTCTGTCATTTTATTTTCTTAGTGCTGCAGAGTTGTTTTTCTTTCCCAAGAACTTGCTCTGTCAAGAGTCTATGTTATCATTAGCATTATCTTAAAGCCGAGAGAATGTATTAAGTGTCTTTATTTTCTCAATGGCCGTGCAGTACCTGCTTATGTGTGATTTAACCAGTGTCCTACACTAAGTGACCTCTGGGTGGGTGCGCGTGCACATACACACACAGAGGAGAGTGTCATTTTAGTTTTGGTTTTGTTTTAAGATAACATCTTTCTATGCAGCCTTGGCTATGTAGATCAGGCTAGCCTCAAACTCACAGAGACCTCTTACCTCTGCTTGAGTGCTGGGGTCAAAGGTGTGGCTACCGTGTCCGGCTAATTAGTCTTTCAGTATGTTTGCACACATGGCTGAAGTGTTTTACTTTCCTTCTTTTTTCCTTCCTGTACCAGGGATTGAACTCCGGGCCTTGTGCTTGTAGCAAGCACTCTCCTAGAGTCTCACCTCAGCCCTTGGTTTTAGTATTTCCATTAGTTAAATTTGTTAGAGTGGAATAATTGGTGTTAAGGACAGTGAAAACCTGAGATTGTCACATCCTTTTCAAATTGCCCTCTGAAGAGTCCTGTTTGTGCCTCATAGTAACTGTTTCCTAGTCTCAGTGTTCCCTGTGGCTTTCCTAGTAAGGCTGAAATGGAGCTGGGGGGGAGAGGGGGGATAAAGGTGGAGCAGCAGGGAGCTTTTGCTTAGTGGGGGATAGAGGAGGCCCTCCTCCCCTCTGTATGCTCTGGGCGCCTGGGGTGGGTTTCTGGCACTCCTGTGTGTTTTTAACCCAGCACCTGCTTGCCCACAGCTGCTGGAAGTGAACAAGCAGTGGGACCAGCACTTCCGGTCCATGAAGCAGCAGTATGAGCAGAAGGTGATGGAGTTCCTGGGAGCTGAGCCAAGGATGGCTCAAGGAGGAGGGATGAGGGGCTTTTATCCAGACTGAAACGGGGATGTGGAGGGACAGCTGGTGCATGCTCCCCCCACCCACCCTCACACTCCCTCTCTGCCACTCCTCCAGATCACAGAGCTCCGCCAGAAGCTGGTGGACCTGCAGAAACAGGTGACTGAGCTGGAGACTGAGCGTGAGCAGAAGCAGCGGGACTTTGATCGGAAACTCCTCCTGGCCAAGTCAAAGATCGAGGTAGAAGAGGCAAGTGTGACCAGGCCTGCAGGCTCTGAGGTTCCAGGCCCCTCCCAGAGTCCCTGGGATCAGTGAGTCAGGGATAGAGTCAGGTGCTCTGAGACCTCTGGTGGGCCTGTCTTCTTTCTAAAATTGAGAAGTCGGGATAACTATTTCTTTTCAGTTTTTTCTGCTTGCATTTTGCAAAGGTTTTTTGATCTATTGAAATTTTTTTTAGGATTATTTACTTTTATTTTATGTGTATAGATGTTTTGCCTACATTTATGTCCATGTACCATATGTGTGCCCTGTGCCTGCAGAGGCCGGAAGAGGGCACCAAATCTCTTGGAACTGGGATTACAATTATGAGCTCACCATACGGGTGCTAGGAATCAAACCCAGGTCCTCTGAAAGAATAGCTAGTCCCCTTAACCACTAAGCCATCTCTCCATAAATCTTAAGATCCCAAGGAATTATACAAAGAAGTACATAATATGAAAACATGAAAATGGGACTGATAGGCTCACACCTGTGATCCCAGCACTCGGGAGGCTGAGGCAAGAGAGTAAAGAGTTACAGGCCCGCCTAAGCTGTATACCACGGGCCTGTCTTGGGATGGAGCTGGCTCTCAGTTGGTAAAGCACTTGCCTAGTAGGCATGATGCCCTGAATTCAATCCTTACTTCTACATAAACCAGGCATGGGAGTGTGCAGAAGGAAGTACAGAAGTTCAGGGCCATCCTTGGCTGCATAGTGAGTGTGAGGCCAGCCTGGGCTACATGAGATTGTCAAAATCAAATTAAATACTGTCTCCTGAAACAGATAAAAGCAGGTCTTGGTGGGGTGAGGTGCTGTTGAGAGTAGAGCAGGGCCTAAGAAAGAAGGAATTTGTTTATCCGGTCATCTTGTTAGCCTGCCCAGGCACTGTCCCAGATAGACTCGGAGGAAGTAGTCAGCTCTGCCCTGGCTGGAGAAGAGATGCTGAGTCACCAGATAAAGGCTAATAACTAAAAGTGTGTTGAGTTCTACAACAAAGAAAGGGCAGAGATCAGTGGCTGGACAGAAGGGGCCTGATTCGGGCTATGCTGTGAAGCGGCATTCTGAAGAAATGGCCTCTGCTCTGCCATGTGTGACTGGTGCCAGCCACCTGACTCCCGGACCCTCGGGAGGGTTAGTGACAGTGCCACTTCTTTCTCTCTATGGGAGCTGCACGTGGGCCGCTTTGCCTAGCTTTAAAGGGATACTTTCAACACAGATTGCATTTCAGAGGCCCTCCAGCAGCACGTGGCACGCGGGCCTTATCTGAGCGCAGCCTGTGTCTGTGACTACTTCTTTCCCTTGAGAATTGGTGATAGAGACACTGTGCCTTTCTTCTGAGTGCACCAGCATGGCACCCAAGCCAGATGTCCTGGCTCTGTGGTCTCTTTTCCTCACTCATGTCTACAAGGGAAACAGATCCCTGGAATCTGACCTTCTATCCTGTCTTCTGAAGGAGGGCAGGGCCTTTCCAGGGTAAGCCTGGCCTTGAAGACAAGAACTCTGGTTGAGGACATGCTTTGTCCTAGAGCCTTCAGCAGGAGCCAGGCCATCACCCATGTGTCTCGGGCCAGGCTGCCCTGAGCCACCTCTGACTAGAAACCACTCACCCACCGATATGTGAAATATTGACTAAAAGTCACACAGAAAGGAATGAGCACTGACCCACCTCAGTCTGTCCCTTGATCCACATGACACAATACAGATGAGCTAAACACTTTCCCGGAAGACTTCCCTCTCCCCCTCCCTAGACCCTGGTCCTCTGAGAGGTAACCATAGTTACATTTTTTTTAGATTTATTTATTTTATGTATAAGGTTATTTTGCCTTTATGTATGTATGTGCACCCCCTATGTGCCTGATCTCATGTGGGTAGAAGAAGGATTAGTTTCGGATGTTTGGAAGTCACCATGTGAGTGCTAAGAATTGAACTGAGGTCCTCTGCAAGAACGAGTGCTTGTAATCACTAAGCCATCTCTCCAGCTCCCAGACCTTTTTTCAGATATGTCTGCTGACAATACAGTTTGCTTTAGCCGTACTGCTCTTTATGCTGCACTGCCATCCACTGTTTTAATTTTTATCTATTTTTGAAACAGGCTTCTTGCTGTGTAGCCTAGGTCTGAAACTCGCTATGTACCTCAGACTGTACTTGTACTTAAGAGATCCATCTGCCCCAGCCTCCAGATTGTGTGGATTAAAGGTGTCCGCCACTACTTTGAGCCCAACCACTGTTTTAAACTCTGGTGCAGGCCTACAATGCCAGTTTCTCGGAAGGCTGAGGCAGGAGGATCACCAAAGCTCAGAGCCTCCCTGGGCTGAGTTAAAGCTTGCCTAAGCAAATTAGTAAGGCCATGTCTTGAATATAAAAATCACAAAAGTCAGGAGCTGGGGAGTTGGAACCATAGCTCACAGTTGCTTAGCAAGCATGAAACTCAGCCCCTAGAAGAGTAAATAATCCGTTTCTTGGCCTGGTGAATAGCATTCGGTGCTTTCACCACTACGGCCGGTTTGATTCCCAGTCAGGGCAGTATATCTAGGTCAGGGAGATGGGTGAGTGAGTGAAGTACTTGCCGACTCTCACAAGTTGTCATCTGACCTCCACACGGGCATACCCACACATACAGACAATAAAAAATGTAAAAAGTAAAGAAACTCTTCCTTTGATATGAGTGGACTAGAAATGAGGGCCTTGAATTCTGCCCCAACTCCCTGTGTGGTCTGCAGACAGTCAACACACACAGAGTTTCTCATTAAGCAAAGGGGCCTTATACCCAGCCACCATTCCAGCTGTGTCTACACACACACATACACACACACACACACACATATACACAGTTTCTCGTTGAGCAAAGGGGCCTGATTCCCTGCCACCGTTCCAGCTGTGTCTACACACACACACACACACACACACACACACACACACACACACACAGTTTCTCATTGAGCAAAGGAGCCTTATACCCAGCCACCATTCCAGCTGTGTCTACACACACACACACACACACACACACACACACACAGTTTCTCATTGAGCAAAGGAGCCTTATACCCAGCCACCATTCCAGCTGTGTCTACACACACACACACACACACACACACACACACACACAGTTTCTCGTTGAGCAAAGGGGCCTGATTCCCTGCCACCATTCCAGCTGTGTCTACACACACACACACACACACACACACACACACACACAGTTTCTCGTTGAGCAAAGGGGCCTGATTCCCTGCCACCATTCCAGCTGTGTCTACACACACACCATTTCAGCTGTGGCTGTGTGATGCAGAAGCCTGGAAGCTTCCACCCCTCAGCTGTGGTGACCTTTTATTCTGTACACTTCTCTGGAGGGCCTCCTCCTGTCCCGCTTATGTCTTTGAGTCTCTTCTATTCTTAGAAACCCGAGGTCCTTAAGGGGCTGTGGTTGTCTTCATTCTTTGTGAATCTGGTGGAGACAGGGGCTTTACTCCTGAGAGAGTTTCACAAACAACATTTTACACTCCATTTTGGAACTCACAGCTCTCATGAGGTCCCTCTGTGGCTTTGGCTAAAGATCTATTAGCCCTAGGACTTAGCTTACTTAAGAGGGCCTGTGTGGGGCAGGGTCTCTGCCAGATGGTGAAGGAGCTAGCATCAGACTTGGGGGCCTTTTTCACTCTGCCAGGCTTCTCTTCCTTGAAAGCAGGACAAATGGGCTCTCAAAGACACCAACCTCTCCCCAGGTTACTGCAGAAAGCACTGAGATGCTTCCTGAAGGAGGGAGAGCCAGGGCATGGGTCAGGCAGTCCAGGCCTCCTGGAGAGTCCCTGTTTACCAACCCTTCTCTCCTGCAGACCGACAAGGAACAGCTGACAGCAGAGGCCAAGGAGTTGCGCCAGAAGGTCAAGTACCTGCAGGATCAGCTGAGCCCACTCACCCGGCATCGCGAATACCAGGAAAAGGAGATCCAGCGGCTCAATAAGGTGGGCACTAAGACACGTCCCCTTGGGGGAAGGCTTCTGTGAGCTCAGCTGCAAGGCCCACCCACTCTTCTGCTGGCACCCATAAATCAGGAGAGGCGAACCCTTTTCAGTGGGTTAAAGGCACAATTCCTGTCATCCCTGCCCCCACACACCCTGGGTGACCCACTCCTCTCTCCCATATGGCCTTTGTACATGGTGGCTTCCTCTCAGGAGCCCACTATCTCCTGACAGTGTCTGGCCTACCCAAGCATAAGCATCACTTGTTCAGCAAAACTGTCCCTGGTTTCTTTTTGGTGGCCCCATCTTATGGTCCTAGGGTAGCAACAGCTGTTTCCTCACCCAACTGATGATTGTCCTGTTAATGCATACACACACACATACTTCTTGAAGCCAGGGTAAGAGACCTGTCACTGAGAGTTCCTGCTGCCTAGAGGCTAACGTCCAAGGAGCATTCTGTGGACAAGAAAGAAAGTAGTGAGAGGGTGTGGGTGACTAAGGGCACTTTGCCTTCTTTGTTGGTTTCATTTTTCGAGTCAGGGCTACTCTCTGCATCCCTGACTGTCCTGGAACTCATTCTGTAGACCAGGCTGGCTTTGAACTCAGAGATCTCCTGCCTCTGACTTCCAGGTGCTGGGAGTGAAGGTGTGCACCCTCATACCCAGTTTCCCCCACCACCCACTCCCTACCCCAACTTTGTCTGGTCTTCACGGTTGGTTGGTAAAATAGAAACTCAAGTAGAAATTGCAGTCCAGGCTCATATAATTGAGACAAGATAGGTTGCTGGGGCTAAGTAAGAATCCTGAAAATGCCATCAGACAATGCAGCTTCTCTTGAAAAGCTAGGCTTCTTTCTAGGTCTTGGGTATGAAAAGTTGAGCCAGGCCTGTTCAGAGGTCTTTGTACTGAAGTCCTCAGGTTAGCCTGCAGGTTAAAGGCACACAGGTTGGGTGGACAGCCTTGTGCTCACTCCTTAGCTGTCTCCCTTAGGGTTTCTGTCGCTCTGATAAACCACCATGACCCAGAGCAGCTTGGGAGGGAAGGGCTTGTTTTATCTATAAATTTCAGATCCCAATCTGTTATTGAGCTAGGGCAGGGCAGGAATTTGGATGCAGGAGCTGAGGCAGAGACCACAGAGGAACACCACTTACAGACTTGCTCCTCCTGGCTTGCTTAGCCTGCTTTAGTATATACTCCAGGACTAACCAGCCCAGGGGTGGCACCACCCACAGTGAGATGGACCTTCCTGTATCAATCGCTAATCAAGACAATGCCTCAAAGGCTTGCCTATAGGTTGGTTTGATGGGGGCATTTTCACAGTTGAGGTTTCCTGTCCTCAGATGATTCTGGCTTGTTTCAAATTGACAAAAAACCAACACAGGACACTCAACCGAGTCACAGTGGGTCTCTGGGTCTCAACTTTCATATGTGGAAAATGGGAGTAAGGCCCTAGCCATGGGATGATGATGAGGCTTCAGTACAGTGGCCCAGGTACAGCATTGATGGGTAGAGCTGGTTAAGGACCACTGTTGTGGGGGTGATAGTTATAGTCACTGTCCTGTCAGAAAGAGGCTCTCCAGGAGTGATCTGACTTCAGGGAGGCCTGCTACTGATCCTGTCTCTTCTCTCCTGACCCCAGGCTCTGGAGGAGGCTCTCAGCATCCAGGCCTCTTCATCTCCACCACCAGGTTATGGGAGCCCAGAAGGGTCTGGGAGCCACCTGAGGAAGCAGGAGCTAGTGACACAGAATGAGCTACTGAAACAGCAGGTGAGGCTCAGAGAGCTGGTGCATCCCTGGGAGCCAGCCGACCCTCCCCCATGCTAGCTCTGCTGTCCATCTCTGTGGGCCTGGCCATCATGTTTCTACTCCTTAATATTAAGCCAACGATCTCTTTGTTCAAATAAAGTCCTGTCTCAGGTCCACAGTATAAGACAGAAGAACACAGAATTACTCTGGCGAAGTTGGATCTGGGGCTCACGGTGCTCTACTCCAATCTCCAGTGCCCCCAGTGAGAAGCATGGGCCCTGAGCCGGAGCAGTGCGGCTTCCAGAAGGGTGCCCTGACCCCTCACATACCGGTCCCCTCCAGGTAAAGATCTTCGAGGAGGACTTCCAGAGGGAACGGAGTGACCGTGAACGAATGAATGAAGAGAAGGAAGAGTTGAAGAAGCAGGTGGAGAAGCTGCAGGCCCAGGTCACCCTGACAAATGTCCAGGTAAGAGCACCACCCTGGCCTTAAGGGGTTAGAGGGCCCTGGGGACTTACTAGACTCCATCTCTACTCCCACTCCTCTCTATGACCTGCCAGTCCCTTGTCCTCTGACTCTGACTCTAAGTCAGTGTTGATGCCTAGGAGAGCAGAATGAACAGGACAGAATGAAAGACGCTAGCAAGAAAGCACTTGAGTGCCCTCCTGACCTGTGTCAGCCACCAGGAAGAGCAGGGGCCCCACAGCCAACAGCCCAGCTTCTGCTGTGCCCATTAGTGCCCTTCCTGGAACGTCCCAAGCTTGAGTAGCATCCTGGACCTCAGCCATCTGCCCTCAGGGTGTGAGGCCTTGGGCCTACACCTGCCTATGAGCCATCTGTACTATCGGGCCTCTCTCCCTCCTCCAGCTCAAAGCACTCAAAGATGAGGAGAAGGCCAGAGAAGCCCTCAAACAGCAGAAGAGGAAAGCGAAGGTGAGCAGCTGGAGGGAATGGGCAGCATGCAGTGTCTGCCCACCTTCAGGGAGTGGGGTCTCAAGGGAAAGATGGCTGGCGTTCTGCCAGTTCAGTGCCAACAGAACAGTCCTCAGTAACTGTCATTACCAGTCATCTGTGACCAGTGACCAGGTCCCCAGTTCTGCCTATGTCCCAGCCTCCCTGACGTCCCAAGAGCTAAGATTCCAGCTACAGGGTAACAAGGTTGGTGCCGCTGGCTGGTGGCGGGTCAGAAGCAGATATGAGCCTTTCTTGCAGGCCTCAGGAGAGCGCTACCACGTGGAACCCCACCCAGAGCACCTCTGCGGAGCCTATCCCTATGCCTACCCACCCATGCCAGCCATGGTGCCTCACCATACCTACAAGGACTGGTCCCAGATCCGCTACCCTCCACCCCCCATGCCCATGGAGCACCCACCCCCACTCCCCAACTCTCGCCTCTACCATCTGGTGAGTCTGTGTCCCTCCTTCCTGCAGATTCCATCTAGAAAGGAAGGTCAAGTGAGGGGGTGGGAACCTGCTGTCCAGGCGGTTTCTCAGAGACAGCATGGCTGTAGGCAGGTGTCCAGGCCTGGCCCCGGGCTTCTTTCCTTGGAATTAAGACTCTGCAGCCCTAGCTGCTCAGCACCAGTGGTGTCAAAGGGAGGAGGCCCAGTAGGAATGCAGAGTAGGAGGGACCACCATCAGATCCCTTCAGTTGAGTCAGGTCTGACCTTGACCATGCTTCTCCCCTTCTTCTGCCTCTTTCCCTCTCTCTACTCTCTCCTTTCCCTCCTTCCCTTTCCTCCTCATATTTTGGCTCCTCTCCTTTTCCCTCATCTTTCTCTTGCCCCCTAGAGTTGTTGTCACCTGCCCCTCCTTTTGCAGTCTCTATAGCAGCCCTACTTCAGGTGTGCCCAGCTCCCCTCGGTAGGTACAGTGCTTCTCCCCTTATGCACATTTAAAACACTGGTGACAATGCTGTGCTTAAGAGGTTGGTCAAAGCCAGGTGGTGGTGGCGCGCGCCTTTAATCCCAGCACTCAGAGGCAGAGGCAGGGAGATCTCTCTGAGTTCGAGGCCTGCCTGGTCTAGAGTGAGTTCCAGGACAGTCAGGACTACACAGAGAAACTCTGTCTCAAAAAAACCAAAAGACAAACAAAAAAAAAAGGAAAAAGAAAAAAGGCTGATCAAGCTAGATTGGCTCATGTAATCCCAGCACACCTAAAGGAAGAAACTTGCCCACAAGTTTGAGGCCAGCCTGGGCAACATAGAGAGATATAGGTCACCCTGGGCTACAGAGTAAGACTCTACCTCAAAAAACAAGAGAAGGAAAGAGGCATGAACTAAAAGCTACACTTGGCCATTTTCTCAGCTGAGTGATGTGACCCTTAGGGTTTGGTACTTTGCTCCTGTGCATTTAGGACTGTTCTGACTGTAACTGCTGCTCTGGCTCTGGAATGTGGTTGTGGATTCTTTCTGGGTTTGGGGGGAGGGTGTTGGTCTTTTGGTTTGGTTTAGTTTGGTTTTGGTTTTCTGAGAGACAGGGTTTTTTTCTATAGCCTTCACTGTCCTGGAACTCGCTTTGTAGATCAGGCTAGCCTTGAACTCAGAATTCCACCTGCCTCTGCAGTGCTGGGATTAAAGGTGAGTGCACTACCCCTGACTCAGTTGTGAATTCTTAAGCACCCATCTTGTTGCAGTCAGAGTACACCTGGCGTCCACCCTGTGCAGGGATTCAGAATCCGACCTCCCAAGTGATGGACCCGCCCCCGGACAGGCCTGCAGAACCAGGTGAGTGTGGGTGCTCTGGTGGAAAGGACTTTCACCAACCAACATTGACCCAGTTTACAGATGCTGTTGTTTTGTGAGCTTGGTGACATGGAGGCTCAGCTTCCTGAAGTAGTGTTGAGAGAGGAAAGATGCTGACTGGAACTAGAAATGATTGGTAGGAACATACATTCACTTTCTAGTACTGTGCTAGGAGCAGGCATGTTCCTATCCTACTGAGGGGGCAGAAGTGGATTTTAGTACTCACATAGTCAGATGGGTGCCACTCGAGTGCCCAGAGAGCAAGTTTTGTGAGAGAGGTCAAAGGGCCTGACCTGGAGCAGGGTCAGGGAAGTTTTGTGGAGACGGTGACATCCTAGCTAGACAAAATGGCTGAGACAATCAACTTTTGAGAAGGAAAGACTGGGGTTTTGGCTCAAGGTTTCAAAGATTTGAGTCGTTGGGTGCTCGGCCCTAACAGTTTGAGCCAATGACTGTCTAACGCATCATGGCAGGAGAACACAGCAGAGGTCTCCTCATCTCCTGATGGCAGAGAGGGGGCGGGGGGAGCTAGGAAACCTGTATTGTGCAGGGGCATGCTTGTAATGACCCAACTTCCCCCCCACTTCCTAAAGGTCTACCCCTCCCAAAGGCTGGTGACGGAGGCATTTGGGGCCAATTGTCTCTAGCTCTGAGGCTTACGTCCATCTCACAATGCATGCAGGTGATCTCCCAGAGTCCCCATGATCTTGACTCTTATGGCATTGCTTAAAAGCCCAGTCTCTAAGGCTCAATGCAGACTTATCTCAGAGAAGTTAACAGAAACAAAAAGAGACAGGCATGGTGGCACACATACACTGTTCTCATCACTTGGGAGGTGGAGGCTAAAGGAGCAGGAGTTGAAGGTCATGCTTGATTTCGTAGCAAGTTTGAAGCTAACCCGGGCTATGACTATCTCAAAACAAAAATCCAAAGAGAAAGTTTCATGCTTCCAGTACAGTAGACAGTGTTGAGCAAATCATAGAGTGACTGACCCTGTTCAGACGGGAGAGGGTGTCATAGACAAAATCAAACTAAAGTTATACTAAAACCCAGAAAAGCAGACAAGAGCTCCTAGCTCTGGGCTGTCACTGTGGCTGGCTGTGCTTGCTGCCATGGCTCCCCACTGATCCACATTCTACACTCCTGGCATCTTTAAATTCCTGGGGTCTCAAGTACAGCTTAGCTGTCATCACAGTTTACCTGCTACCCTGTCTGGGTTGTCCACCGGAACGTGGATCCTGCCACACACTGCCTGACCCCACCCCCAGGCCTTCCTTTGAAATCTGGGTGGAAGCCATGACCCCATAACACTTGGCATCATGCATACCTGCTCAAGTACCATCATGTGGACAAATGCCAGCATAACTGTGAACTAGAACTGTGCCAGAGCCTGCTTGAGTCACAGTTACAGTGGTCAAGGGCCTGTGAGTATGTTGGAGCTGAACATGGCAGAGAAATCCTCTGGAAGTAGTTCTCTAGGAAGCCTCCCTGAAGACACATGGTGCTCTCATCTCAAATCAGAGGCTTTACATGTCTAGATCCTCTGGCCTGGGACTCTGTAATAAACCAGTTGAACTCAGACCTGCAGTGATCCTTCTGCCTTTGCTTCCCAAGTGCTGGGATTATGGATGGAAGTCACCATACTTCACTTGGGGTCTTCCTGTTATGGAGATACCCTCAACACATCTTTCTTACTATTTCTTGGCAAAGTCCTTTGCTGCTTTTTTTTGTTAAGGTTTATTATTTTTAATTGTAGGTGTGTGTATGTGTGAGTGCTGGCACCTATGGAAGTCAGGTGTCAGGTCCCCCTCAAACTGGGGCTGTAGGTGACTATGAACCACTCGATGTGGGTTCTCAGTACACGCTTTTAACCACAGAGCCATCTCTCCACCCCAAATTGCTTCTTTTGAAGGGTCCTCCTTGGCATACACTCGATGCTTCTTTTCTAGCCAAGCTCCAGTATTTTTTAGTCTGTCTGCCCTGCCTTTGCTCCTGTACTTACAGTAAGTCTGACTGAGGGTAGTCAGCAGAGGCCGTGTGACCTTGACATTTGCTCCGCCTCACAAAAGTGTCAAGGCATGGACAAAACAGACGGGTTCTTGATAGAGCATAATACAAGTGGCCCAATTTCCAGTAGGATCTTCATGTCTACCCAAAATGTAATGAGCCTGGCCTCACTGCCCACACACCAGTCAGAATTGAGCTCTTCTGAATCCTCACTACAGTTGCCCATTTAGTTTTGCTTACAGCTGTCTAGGCACTTTCTGGGGCTCTGAACTGCATCAGACTCCCTGGTGATTGATCCCTCTCTTGGTCAGCAATTTTCTTGGTTGGCAGCTTGCTTGGTCAGCAATTTTCAGTGTTACTCAGCTTTCCATCCCTGGGCCCAAACACCCAAGATAATCTACTTACACAAAGGAAAGATGTAGTTTTGATTTAGAATTTCTGAGGTTTCATCCCATGGTTACTTGGCCCTGTCACTTTGGGCCTCTGGTGGCTGGCCTCTCATAGTAGGAGTATATAGCAGAGTAGGCATGTTCACCTGGAAACAAGAAAGTGCTGGAGTCCCAGTATCCCCTTCAAGGATGCTTGTCTGGTGACTTTCATTTCCCCCATGGGGCCCTACCTCCTAACTGTTCTTTCCTGATAGCATCATGGGCTAGCTGGTGACTAAACTCTTAAATGTCTTTTGGAAAACATTTAAGATCCTAGTCATGGCATTTTAATAGGAGTGAAGGAAAGTGGTTGATTTCAGCATCTGAGGGAGCCAAGAATAAGGAGGTGTGAGAGCTCGGGCAAGGTGGGGTGAGCGATGTCAGAGGTCTCCAGGTGTAGGGACTTTGCAGAGTGTGGCTGGAGGGCTGGTCTGAATCCCGAGTGTAGTGTGGAGTCCCTGGATATCGCATAGCATAGTGACCTGACCAGACTGGAACTTTGGAAAGCTCCGTCTGACCACAGAGTTATTAAAGTCATTAAAGAGGCTGAAGGGCCTGGAGCTACAAGCTAGTCAGGGGACATGCGTGTAGTTTAGGAAGCACTGAACCTGTGGGGCTCCGGCAAGGCCATTTGAGAAGTGGGTGCATGCAACAGGGAGGCCGTGTCCATGGAGAGGTACTTCCTAGAATAAGTCACTGTTGTGCAGAAGTCAGGAGGTAGTGCAAGCAGAGGTCACAGACAGATGACTCAGGCAGGGCTGGAGAACTTGGTGCTTGAAAGAAGGGATTGGACTGGCTGATTATTTCCCCAGAGGGTCTTTGAAGTCATTTGGGGCTGCCTTCATGAACGGCAAAGGGTGACATGGTAGGCAGGCCTGACCCTTCTTCCAGTACTTAATTTTGGGATTTGGAGATGGAGGGACTGAGTTCAAATCCCAGCTCCAGCACATTATAAACCTAGGTCTTGGGCCAAGCTTTTGTAACTCTTTGTCCTAGTTCCCTCCTCTCATGAAGGGGTGACAAATGACCTGCACCTCAGGGCTGGGTGCAGATTGCGTGATTAGCGCCTAGAGACATCCTGACATTCAGGAGCATCCAATAACTAGCTCTTGTTTACCCTAGTGAGGAAGCCTGAGTTGGCATCTGTGTGTGACTGAGGCTGAGCAGGCCACGTGATCTTAAAGCTTCCAAACTTTTGTTTATTTAGAGTCTGCAAAACATGACTGTGAGGGGCCTCATTGAGACTGCATTGGGTCATTTGGCTCCACCTTCATCTTGCAGAGCCAGCTGACCTCAGATTGCCGAGAAACTAGAGGCCTTGTCATATTCTGTGTGGCCAGAGACTGGGATGAACAGGTGACCCACACCCCCAGCCCCACCTTGAACTGTTTACAAGACCAGGGAGGCTACTTGCAAGGCCTCTACCAGGTGTGTCTGGATGGAACTAGGAAAAGCTCAACACACCCTGCCTCTTGCCAAGACGAGGGGGCCTCACCTGGCTTTGACCTGCCCTCTTTTGCTGAGGCTACTGGCTATCCATCCTACAAGTGGGGTGCAATGAAGACCCCTTCCTCTCAGAACCTCGAAGAACTGGTTCCAGGCTCTTCGGAGACCACGCCCAGTTCATGTGCGTGTGTACTTTTTGCTTCAAGCTCAGTAGCTGGACCTGCCCCATGCCCTCTCCATACCCCTCCGAGAGGAATTGTGGGAAGGGGGCTCTGTTGCAGAAGAGAACCATGGGATGTTCTGGTGTCAGCATGCTCTCCACTGCAGCCATGGCAGCCTCTTGAGAGCCACCATCATCTGGGATGAAGGCCACACCATCATGTCTGCCTGAAGCTGCCCTCAGCCCCCCAGTTAGATGTTCATGGTGCCAGAGGTCTGTATTTAGGTAGCTGTCTGTTGCTAGGCGGCTGTTTGCACAAATCTTGGACATAAATCCAACTTGAGGATCAACATTTTGTGACTGGTAGTTTTTCCATGCCCTCACGGCCAACAGGAATGCTGGTTCTGGTTCCTCCTTCAGAATTCTTTTCCTACATACCCCTGAGAGTGTTGCTAACATCTTAGGAGCACCCAAGGGTGGAGGGAGGGGAGATCCTGGGCAGGGGATCAGAGGACTTGGGGCTGGGACAAGCCTTAGTTCCTGCCCTTCAGAAATGATACCCTCTGAGCCCTCCATGTCCTGAGGAAGGTGGGTGAGACTGAGCTGATGTGAACTCGGTTATAGACTCCAGTAGTTGGACAAGGGCTGCAGTGTGGGCCTAGACGCCAAGTCACGGGCTCCAGTGCACGCTCTTCACACCTCATTTCTCTTTCTCCTTCCTCCCCCTCCCCGTTTCCATCCCCAGTCCCCACCTCCCATGCCAGGAAGCCACCACAGGTAAGCTGAGCTGCTGCAGAAAGGCCTTTACTGGGCAGATGGAGTGTGAGAGAACAGTGGACAAAGTGAGAGAACAGCATGTCTTCCAGAGGAGCAGGGGTAGGATCCCTGCCTGGGAGCCTAAGCCTGAATGCACTAAGGGCTGGCCCCACAAACAGGTTCAGGGGAGGCCCGCCCAGAAGGGCTTCGGGCCCCTCCTTCATGGAGATACCACCTCTGACTTGGGGTACATGGCCATCACACTCACAGTTGCCTTTGCTGTTCTCAGGAACACTATAGGGTGGGGGTGGGGACTTGGGAGGGCCCTTCAGGAAAGATGAAAGAGGCTGGCAGTGTAGTGAACCCAGATGTGTACGGGGAATTAAGTGTGGGCATGTGGGAGACGCTGGCCCCAAAGGTGATGTCCAGGTTTGAGAAGGACTGTTGGACCTAGAACTGGTGTTTCCATTGGGTTCATTTGGAACAGAAAGCTGGAAAAAATATGAAGGTATAGTTCCCCAGTACCAAGCTGTGAGCACAGCTGGTCCATGCCTGGGTATCAGGCAGGCAGACAGGTGGCTGTGTAGCCATGCACACATGGGCACAATTGTCACATGTGTGCACAGTAGTACAGACACATAGTCGTGCCAGGTTTGTCTTTTATGTAATAAGAAAGGGGGCCTGGGGCAGGTGTAGAATGATTGGGAAAGTGGGTTCCTTCCTGAAGAGCCCCTCTCCAGCCCTTGCATGATGGACAGGGGATAGAGGTTGGCGGGGGGGGGGGGCATCAATTACTTCCATCTGGCCCCCAGGGCTGCCTGCTGCCTCATGTAGGACAGGATATCCATCTTGACGTTGCTGACTGTAGTCCGGTGGTACCAGCGCATAATAGGTTTGCCGTCTGGCCCCACCAGAAACTTCTCAAAGTTCCAGCGGATGTCATGGATCTTCATGGGTTCCCAAAAGAGGCGACTAGGTGAGCCCAGGAGCTCCGCAGTAGGAGGGCAGGAGTTCTAGTGCAGGGTGAGAGGGGTGTCAGCCTATATTGAGGCCCCTCCTGATTGCCCCTCAACCTTCCTGGGAGAAAACTTAAGGAAGGGCCCCAGTTTGAGAGCAAGAATGCTCAACTGCCCATCTCTGCAGTGACTGGAAGGTTGAAGGCCCCTCAGATGCCCCCCGCGGGCCTTTGCTGCACAGTAGGCTGAGGGACCACAGAGTCTGCCAAGCCCTCTTATGGGAGTACTAGACCAGGGCCAGGACATCCCTGGGGGCTGAGATGCATGGGGTGCGGCCTGAATAGCTGGAGGGAGTTCCCCCCAGATTACCCACGCTCACCTTCAGGAAAGTGTAGACCTTCTGTTCTTTCTCCCCGTTCACATCTCCTTTCTCAAAGAGCTGGAAGTTAGGGACAAAGCCCCCACCTGGTCGGACATACCTGCGAGGAATGTTTTTGGTGGGTCCAAAGGAGCCACACATGGCGAAGGGACTGAGGGGACGGAGAGCTGGGAGTCCCTTTTATCCAGTGGCAGCTCTTTACTTGGACACCCACAGGCCCAGTGTGTATTTGCCATCTCAGTCCCTTCTCTGCACCACCCAGCATACCTTAGGACTCCCAAGCAGTTCTGTTTCCTGTCCCCTCACCCTCAGGCCATTAAGCCCCATCCTGGGATGGGCATAGGGGAGCAAGTGACTGAGTGGCTGGCATGGAGACAGTCAACAACCCCTGCAGCCTCCCACTCCTCTGCCCATAGAGGCCACCATCTCCAACCACAAGAACTCACTTGAGACTGGGTAGGATCTCTGAGTTCTCGCCCGGTTCCTGTTTGCCAAATTGATTGCTGGGGAAGCCCAGAATGACCAGACCGAACGGGCCAAGTTCTTCTTGTAGTGCATTCAGTTCTTGGCCAGGGAGAGAGCAAGAACAGGTGAAGAACCCGCCTCACCGCCCACTTGCCACCCACCCTTCAGACCCTGGAGCCTCTGAGACCCAAGGAGGGAGGATTTCCCCAGGGGGACCCAGTGAGTCCTGTCCTGACTCCAGTGATGGGACAGTGAGGTTTAGGGGGAGAGTCAGGAATGTGCTTCCTCACATCAGTAGCCACTCGGCTGAGGGCTGGCTCAGGGTGGCGGTGCTGTCAGGATTCACATCCCTCCCATCGGGAAATTCAGGAGCCCAGAGAGGCCCTAGCCCATCTCTTCAGAGAAGCATTGCACTGTCCAAGGACTGGACAAAAGCATGGGGCACAGAGCCGTGGGACCACACACCCTGCCTGCAGACCCAGGAACTCTCCTGCAAGTGTAAGCCCGGTAGCCAGGCTCTGCTTGACTCCAAAACATTGCCCCGAGAACCATCGCGCTTTGGCCTGATTGTTCCCTTGGTTCTGCCTGTCCTCACTGAGAAGAAAGGACAGAGGAAACTGACCTAAGGAGACTGACCTGCAGTCAGACACTGAGTTCAGCCATCGCCAGCCTTATGGCCCTAGTTGTTTACACAGGCTGAGCCTAGATGCCCTTTCCTGTGTACTGAGTTCAGAGAAGGGCTGAGCTAGACTTTTTGAAGGTTTGCTTAAGAATGAACTGTTGAACCGGGTGTGGTGGTGCATGCCTTTTTTCCCAGCAGTTGGAGACCAGTCTAGTCTACGGATTGAATTCCAAAAGAACCAGAGAAATCCTGTCTCAAAAATTAAGCCAAGGGCTGGAGAGATGGCTCAGAGGTTGAGAGCATTGCCTGCTCTTCCAAAGGTCCTGAGTTCAATTCCCAGCAACCACATGGTGGCTCACAACCATCTGTAATGGGGTATGGTGCCCTCTTCTGGCCTGCAGGCATACACACAGACAGAATATTGTATACATAATAAATAAATAAATATTTAAAAAAAAAAACCAAGCCAAAAACCAAAAAAAAAAAAAACCAAAAAAACAAAAAATGGACTATTGGTTGCCGCCAGCACACCTCTTCCTTATCAACTTCTAGAACTCTAAACTAATGGGGCCCATTCTCCAGAGCGGAGCTAAAAGAAGGGCCCACACGGATGAGACTGTAGGGAGAGAAGCATTCTCAACCAGCATGAGCTGCAGCCACCATTTCTTACTCCAGTCAAGGAAAGCAAGAAAGTACATAGCCCGGGTAGCTGGAAGCTTTCTAGAATACTCCATCAGGCCTCAGCCTTATATAATTATCTGCAGAAAATATGAAATGTAGTGGAGTTGGGATATAGACTTTGGCCTCTCAGTCTCCATCACCCCTTTCCCCTTCCACCTCATGGGATTAAAGTATACCCAAGGGGCTGGATAGATGACTCAGCAGTTAAGAGCATTGGCTACTATTCTAGAGGTTCTGAGTTAAATTCCCAGCAACCACAGGGTGGCTCACAACCATCTCTAGTGAGATCTGATGCCCTCTTCTGGCATAAAGTTGTACATGCAGATAGGGCACTCATACACAAAATAAATAAATCGTTAAAAAATAAATGTACCTAAGTGACAGAATCAGCCCCCTATTAAGCAGTGAGTGAAGGCATGAGGGAGCTCTTACCAAGGTACTGGTCTGTTAGACCTCAGTAACTGGCAACGTTGACAAAGAGGACGTATTTTCCTGCGTATTGCTTAAAAGGGATGTATTCTTCCCCGTCGATGGTGAGGGCCCCATACTCGTAGATGGTACCACTCACACCTCTATGGCAGTCTGTCTGGAAGAGAAAAAGATGGACACCAGGGAACAATTAGAGTGCAGACAGTTAGGAAACAGATATTTCTCCACCTTCCAGAAACAGATGATATGCACCAGGAAGAGAATGACTTACCCAGGACCATAAAAACCTGGACCTGGATTAAAACTGAGGCCTCCTGTTCACTAATAAACACTCAGTATTTGCCTTAGGCACTTCTTGACTGCTGTGGAACCCTGAGGTTAGCAATACTTAACATCCATATTTCACAGGCAGTTGGGCTGGAACAAGAGGCAGAGTCGGGTGGCTTCTGGAATAGTCCAGGCAAATAGGAGGAGGCCTGTGCTAGGTAACTGGGAAGGAGATGCTGGACAGAAAGGATGTGTCAGGGTGGAGTGAGTCAGAGGCTCCCAGTCTGGAGGACTGGAAGGATGAGGTGAGAAAGCAGAGCCCTGAGACCAGGATCCAGGGGTAGGGAAAGGTTTGTCACGAGGGCCACAGTGTGAGGGAGAACGGTCTGCAGAGATGAGCGGTATGATGGATAGCCATACATCCTCCTGTCTGTGCAGCTGCCCCTCCAGTCTGCCCCATCCAGGAAAACGAGGGGAGGAGCCCTGCCACCAGATCAGTGCTATCCCCAACCGTCACTTCGCCCTCAACTAGCCCTTTTCAACCCAGATCAACAAGATGTTACCCTGACCCCACCTCACCCCCAACACAGACAACAGGGTTTGTTGTGGGACAGGTCATTGGTTCAGTAGCTGGGAGGGCCACATAGGAAAGGAAGATCATCCCCCTCTTCCCCTTGCTGCAAAAGCAAGGTCGTCAGCCTGAATGGGTGAAGGAGCTATCCAGGCAGCAGGGTGGGGAACCGGTTGCTCATGGGATGCCACCGAGTGCCTCTGTCATGAAGTCACTGCAGGCCT